GACCAGGACAAATCTTCAGCCTCTAACTGGTCTGCCGCGGTGCCCAAGCAGCAACATGCGGGCAGGGTGCAGTTGCGCATGCATGTCTTTCTTTTCCGCCTCTTACAGCACGGCGTGGAGGACACGGCAGCAGAATGCGAAAGGCTGGGAGCCAGTGTTCAAGCCTTCGTGGTGGACTGCAGCAAAAAGGAGGAAATCTACAGTGCTGCAGAGAAGGTAGGGGAGCAGGGGCACGTCCAAAGGCTCACCCAAATGTGCTCGATTTTCAGAAAAGTCAGGAAAACAAGAGAAGAGGTATTGTACGCAAATCATGCAAGGCCTTGGAATCTCCCCACTTCTTGCTGCTTTCTGTACAGAGAGTGAAGTAGCACTTCCGAGATCACAGGCAGTCTCATTCTCTTTTGTGAGGCTCCGGCGGATCACGCCTCGTTGCCAAGTTTGCTCTTTAGACTTCCAGCCCCTGAAGGAACTTCTGCCTTTTAGCTTCCTGAACAGCACACAGACAACACTGGGGACATTTGAAACATTTTGTTGTAAAGGGTATGGTCCAGCAGGCTCAAAACAATCAAAACTCTGTACGTCCATAGTCCCAACTGTGACTACACAGAGCATACTGTGTCTGTGGGCAATGTGTGGAAGACTATAAATACTGGCAGTAATTAAGGGAGAAGCATCAGATCTAAACCAGATTTCATGGTACTACTGCACAGTTGCTATCACATCTGGAAACGTGGCGCGATCTTCCTCTCCCTAAAAGAAACAACGATAAAAATTAAATTAGTTGTCGCTCATCTTCCACAGCCTTGCATTTTCTTGATAACGAATGACACCAACCTTTCTGGGTTTTTTTCTGCTCAAAAGGTGAAAAAAGACATTGGGGACGTCTCCATCCTGGTGAATAACGCTGGTGTGATTACAGCTGCTGACCTGCTCTCGACTCAGGACCACCAGATTGAAAGAATGTTTGAAGTCAACATTCTTGCTCACATCTGGGTAAGGGTCACTACCATCTTCATACCTACCTTTTTTTGGGAGCGTTGTTGAGGAGGCATATTTAGACTAACAATTATTTTCAGCTACCAGTGAATTACAAAAGCGTCTTTCGGACGTGTATAGCACAGGGGCACCCAGCTAGCACAACAGCTAGACTGACTGTTGAGAAAGTTGATTAACCTCTCGCTGTGTCGCCACCTTCCCTCCTGGCTCCTTGAGCTACTTCCGAGCCCATCTCCCGTCAGTCCTGCCTCTCCTCGTGATTTGTACCTCTCTCACCTCTCTGCGGACTTTCTCACAGCTTTCTCCCAGCAGTCTGAGTCGAGGTGACATGG